CGCTCGCTGGGTGTTGTGGGTCCGTCCTATTGTACCCGTCTCGTGTTATTCGAATGAGCTTCTCATCTGAGTGACCGGCATTTGACCTCCTGATCGGTGTCATGCCATTCACATGTCAAAGGCGGTGTCAGCTGCCTGGGACATGTCACTGGCCTTGGAGGTTGTATGCGAGGGTAGGTTACCAAATAGGCATCCCTGGTGACCCCTGAATAACCTCGGTCAGCTTCACAACTTCCGGGTGCTTACATTACCTTCAGTGACCATTTACGCACCTCTCAGTGACCTGTCAACGACCTCCGGGACGTTTTGGGATCTCAGTCGCCTACGCAACCGCTGATCGTCCGTTTCACCCCTGCGTGACCTGGCCGTGACCTCTACGTGACCCGTGCGCGATCCGCCGGCAGTGACGCCGACTCGATCGGCTCGGCTAGCGACCTGCGCTCGCGCGTGGACGCGGACGGCCCGGACGAGGCGGACCGGCGCCTCTTCGACACGGCCACCGTCTCGGGCACGGTCACCAGCTCCGTCTACCACGCCGAGTGCGAGAGCATCGCGGCCGACGCCGACGCGGAGGGGCGCGTCAAGGCGCCGGGCGGCGCCGGCGGCCGGCGGCGGCCGCGACTGGCGCCGCGGCGGGCCGCCGGCGCGCGACCCGAGCCGCGCCGCGACCCGCTTATTGGTCACGATTACGGCGCGCGGCCGCTGCTCGACGACGATGAGCTTTCCTCGGCCGACGAGGCGGGCGGGAGGCGCCGAGGGGGCGGCGGCGGCAGCGGTGGCGCGCGCCACGCCTCCAGCAGCGAGGAGGAAGCGGACGTGTTCGCGTCGGCCCCCTTCCCGCGGCGGCCGCGCCGCGCACGCGCCGAGCGAGCGCGGCCGGAGGATAGGGCGGCGACGGTGGCGCCCCTGCCGGCGGAGATCTGCATCCCGGCTGAGCTCTCGCAGCGGGTGGTGCTGGCCGCCCAAAGGGGTGGTGCAGAAGCGACGCCGCGGCCGACGCCACCTGCCAATCCTTTTCTGGAGACGGAGCCGTCCGTCGGTCGTGCTCCGCGGCCGCCAGCGGCGGCGGCCAATCAGGCGCCGCGACCTGTCGTGGTGACCAATCAGGCACCGCGGCCGGTTGCGGTGACCAATCAGCCTGCACGACCGTCGGCGGTTGCGGCCAATCAGGCTCCACGGCCGGTAGTGATGACCAATCAGGCGACCAGTCAGGCACCGCGACCGGCGACGGCTGTGACCAATCATGCTCCCCGGATAGCGGCGGCGACCAATCACGCCGCGCGAGTGACTGAGCCGACATCCATCGTCATCCGGCCGCCGGCCAATCGCGTGGCGCCGGGGGCGGAGCTCGCGGACGGCGGCGAGTTCCCCGCCGTTGTGGGCGTGGCCCCGAAGGCATCCACGCTTCCTCGGCTCGGACAGCCGTCCTACAGCCAGTTTACCAATGAGAAGGACGGAGAGCGTGAACCATCGCGCACGGGTCAGCTGGTGAAGCTGTTTTCTGCGCATGCGCCGAACAAGCACCACGTCGCCGTCTCGAGCGAATCGTCGCACAGCGACGACGAGGCGCGCCAACACAAGAAAAAAGACCGCCGCGACAAAGCCAAATACCGTTCGCTGGCCAACGAGCACAGCGACGAAAGTGCGATGGTGGTGCCACCTAAAGTGCGCCCACGGAAACCGAGGTCCAAGGCGTCCGACAGAGATGGCGGTGGCTTCGCCAACATGAGTTTCGAAAACCAATGCAGCGACGACGAAGAGACGCAGAGCTTCGTCCGCGGCGGCAACGCAGGCAGCGATCGTTTCGGATCCTTCCGCCGCTCTGGCAACGGGCTGTTCTCCAAGCTGAAATGAGGTGTTTTACCGGGCTCCGCATGGCGCACTCACCGCCCGGTAAACCCAGCTTCCCGTCTGTGGTCGCGCGTGTTTAATGGTGTCCGTGTAGAGACAGCGGTGTCTATTTTCGTGGTGTCTGGCGGCTCTGGTGTTGGTGTCTGCGCGCCTGCGTCGCCAGGCGCGTCGGCTGTAGTGGATTCAGGGTAATGCGCGGCAGTCTCGCGGCAGCGGTCACATCTGGCAACTAGGCCGGTCACATTTCGCCAATAGGCTGGTCGTATCTGGCAACTGGGCGGCGCCCACGGCGCGTGCGGTGTCGCGGACCACTGGCAGCTTCTTCTGTGGCGGGGCCGGTCACGGGTACGTTCCAGGCCGGCGGCGGCGGCTTCCGCAGACCCTGCGCTTCCCCCGGTTACGACGGTGCGAAGCGCGTGGCGCGGCTGTCACAAGTCTTCGCGTGGCGCGGCTGTCACAAGTCTTCGCGTGGCGTACGATTCCGTGGTTTCGTTTTTATGTGTTACGCGCGTTTTTACACACGGACATGGGTCGAGAGGGCTGGGACGGTTGGACGCGGGCTCTGGACGGGTTGGGTTGCTTGGTCGCTCCAGCTCCTGCCGAGCGTGGCGGCCTATGCTGAGATTCCCGCTGGCGTCAGGAGTTGTCAGGAGTCAGGAGCCGTCGGAGTTGTCAAGCTGACTCTCACACTGGCGGCCGCGCCCGGCCACCCTTCCCGGCTCTCGTGCGGCGCCGGTGCGACGGGATGAGATCGCCGTGTTAGATTGTTAATTTGCGACTGCTTCATGTGGAGATGGTGCGCATTCTTTCCGCCAGAGGCGCTCGTGTTGCGTCGGTCACGTTTTCGTTGTTGTCTCGCGCACAATTGAGTTGTTGATTTTCTGTGATGAACAGCATATCTTATGGATCGCGTAGCTAATATTAACTGTTTTATAGTGTTTTTGCTAGGAACTTTTGTCTCGTCCCCTTTACCTTGTCAATATATGCGTAACATCAACGCGTGAGCGCATAAACCCTACCACTGAACAAACTACAACAAAAAAGCAGCTCATTAGCATCAATCAACATGAGCGCGATGGTGCGCCTGGTTGGCTCATGTAGCCTGGTTAGGGGCGCGCGGCTCCCTAGGTGTTCCACGTCAGGCCTCGTTACCGGCGGTGTATTGATGAGAAGGGCGCCTGAACGTATCGTACAGCCTAGCATCGTACAGCCCTAGCATCGTACAGCAAACGTATCGTACAGCCCGAAGGACACGCAGCGCCGGGTGCATTTGGATCAGTAAGCTCAGCCCACATCAGATGCGCGTATGTGTTGAAATGGATGGTTTCATTGTCTACATCGATGACGCCACGGAAGTCCCTGATATTAGCTGCCTGTGCAACGCACCGTCGTCGTTGGCGGTCGCTCGTCACGGTCTCACCTAGCCCGCTCACCCCGCCTGTCAAAGCCTCACCTGGCCCGCTCACCCCGCCTGTCACGGTCTCACCTGGCCCGCTCACCCCGCCTGTCACAGCCTCACCTGGCCCGCTCACCCCGCCTGTCACGGTCTCACCTGGCCCGCTCACCCCGCCTGTCACAGCCTCACCTGGCCCGCTCACCCCGCCTGTCACAGCCTCACCTGGCCCGCTCACCCCGCCTGTCACAGCCTCACCTGGCCCGCTCACCCCGCCTGTCACGGTCTCACCTGGCCCGCTCACCCCGCCTGTCAGTTTCACCTGGCCCGCTCACCCCGCCTGTCACAGCCTCACCTGGCCCGCTCACCCCGCCTGTCACGGCCTCACCTGGCCCGCTCACCCCGCCTGTCACGGTCTCACCTGGCCCGCTCACCCCGTCTGTCACGGCCTCACCTGGCCTGGCTGGCTCACCCCGGTGTCATGGCCTCACTCGATCCTTACACTCCTACCCGGCCACACTCCTTACAGTCAATCACGCATCTTACCCGGTCACGACCAGTTATCATTTCCGTTCCCATCACCCACCCGGCGCCTCATTGTCACCCGTCACACTCTCACCTGATGCTCCCACTGCCTTCTCCCACCGAGCGGTCCACCATCACCCGACTCGAAATTGGTTCTAAAAAAATGCCGTCTCCACTGCGGGCAGTGGGGTATCAGTCACAAGCACTAACCGATCCCAGGGCAGACAAGAACGTCGCTAGCCGTCAGTCACAAACACTAGCCGATCCCAGGGCAGACAAGAACGTCGCCAGGTGTCGGTCACAAACACTAGCCGATCCCAGGGCAGACAAGAACGTCGCCAGCCATCAGCCACAAACGCTAACCAATTCCAGCGCAGACGAGATGCAGCAGATTCTTACTGCTGGCGTGATAGATTAGTGTAGACCTCGCTCGTGCCGGTCTTTCTCGTAAGTCATAGAAAGATAAATCCTGTCCGTCAACAGCTGTTCTTTGGTAAGTCGCACTCACCAGCACTCACACCACAATGTCCACGTGCACAACCAACAGCAGCCTTGCGTCTCCGAGTCCAGAGAGCGTATGAGCATACGTACTCACCAACGGTGACCGTGTATGCTTACACATCGCCAACGGTGCGCACACATGCATCGGAAACGAGTCGTGGTCACAGGTTCCGGCAATGATGCGAAAGTTAACCAATAAGAACCGAGTACGACATCGTACGATGATGGTCGGCTAAGCTAATCACAAAGTAGGGCATCGCCTTGCGATCCCAAACTGTCTGATGCAACTGACAGGTGGCGAGGCGCTGAACGCGACTTTTTAAAGGAAGCATCGAATGGCATTACGGAAGCCAAGCAAAGTTCAGGTTCCGACGGGACAGATGGAATGCGCTCAGTGCCGGGATTTGAATATAGCCTAGTCTGGTAGCCGCATATAACCCACCCGGTCAATGCCCGGATGACGCAACAGCGTGCCACCAGACCAAGGGCGAATCTTTCGGCCGGTGGGTCTAACGTGTGCAGCGTGGGGTCAATGGACGGCGGCTGGTATAGGGCCTCAAAGTGGACTGTTTTGAAGATGCAACGTTAAACGAGAGCACGACTTACGTGGGTTAGTTGTCACACGAGAACGTTTGAATCCGGCAAGTGAGCTTGGCGTGAACGTCCGTCGCACACAGTCAGCACCGCACAACGCCGTAAGGCACTTTAGTCGCAGACAGGTGCGTCCACATCAAGCGTATATTGGTTATCAGACTGCGTAGATCGTCGCACACTGCCGCACCGAGCTCCGACATACTGCGACACGGACACAGGAGACATCGAGCGGTTTCAACAGTCACGCGGTGGCAAACGACGTCGCGAGTTGGCCGAAGAGTGCACTTTATACGCATAGCACGACTTCCGTGTTTACAACGGATGACAATATCCCCGGATTGTACCACCCCCGAAGTGTGGCTTAGTCGGATATTGAACATTGCACGTTTGGTCGAACTGCTTTGGGCAATTGCGGCGCATGGCTATCCATTGCTTTGACCAGGAACCCGTCACTGTTCCATTAAACCCAAGCACTGTCCACATACCAAGGCTGGTAAAGCTCTGACTTTTCTTCTCGCGGCGAGCAAGCTTTGCGTACTAAGCTGCCTGGATACGTTGACGCCACAACAGTAAAATATCCGCGCTCTCCTCCGACGCCTTCCACTCGCCATGCGCGTCCCAACGGTTCGCAACACACTGATCCGTCGCCTCAAATGTCGACTGCCCGTTTCCAAGCAGAGAGGCGGCTGGCCGCGCATGCGCGCAAGCATGCCGCCACTACAGAATGCCGAGCAGCGTGGTCTGGCCGTCGCGTCGCCGCTCGGCCGCCATGTTGACTTCCACCAGGGTGTCGATGCTGTTGACGCTGGCGCCGTGCACAAGGCGTTGGGCCGCCAGCGACTGGAAGTTTAAATTCAGCGAACTCAGGCTCGGGTAAGTGCGCAACGACGCGTCCCCAGGCGAGCCGGGCCGCCGGCCGCCGGATTCGGACGGCCCCTTGCTCGGATGACTGCAGGGCGCCGGCAGACGGCCCGGCCGGCCGTCCAGCGGCGCCTTGGCCGCCACCTTGGCCGGCGCGGCCACCTCGCTCCAAATGTTGCGTACGCTTAGCGTCTCCGGTCGCGTCGGGCTGCACGGCTCCAGCAGCTTCTCGTTGTTCATCGGCTTCCGCAGCGGCTCCGGCACCGGCATGGCGTCGCCCTCCCGCTCGCCGCAGACGTTCGGCGGCGATATGCCGGCTTTCACGCGACCGTCGCCCTTCTGCGTCGGACGTGTGGTGCGCTTCCGATCGCCTTTGGGCGACGCGTCTGCCGGCTTTTTCACGAAGGTGCCGCCGGGAACTATGGGGATTATCTCCGGCCCGTTGAAAACACCGACATTCTCGTAAACGGGCTCGTTCGTTCTCGCCCTGGCGCGGCCGGAGCGGTCGCTCTCTGGAGCGATGCCGGAGCGCCGCGCGCCTTGTGGCGTCTCGCTCTCCTGCTGCAGGTGCGGGCCGGAACGATCTCGCTTCAGAATGGAGTCGACACGCGGCCGGCCGCGGGCGGCGTCGGCGCCGACGCTGCCTGCGCGTGCCCGGTCCGTCGCCGGCGACGGGGCCGTCTCGGCCGGTCTGCCGTCGTTTCGGGAGACGGGGCCGCGGCCGGCGTCCCGCGAGTTGCGTCCCGGCGACCGGTGCTGCCTCCGGGCCGGCGAGCCCGCCGGCGGACTGGCGCTGGCCGGAGCCGAGGTGAGGCCGGTCGGCGAGGGGCGCTCCCTCCGGGGAGTGCTCAGTAGGTCGGTGGGGCCGCGGCTGCTGCCCGGAGAGGCAGTGGCGCGGGCGCAGTGCTTATTCGTCCCGGAAATGGCGACCACTGCAGCCGGCGCCTCCGCACGACCGGGCGCACTTGGAAGAATCGCTCGCGGTGGCGTGTCGAGTCGCCGACTCGCTGCCGCCACGCCGTGGCAGCGAGACCGACTGCAGCTTGGCGTCTCTCTCCAGAGATGACGCTGGCGACCGCTCTAAGCTGGAGCCGCTGCTCGTGCGGCCGCTGCTGTGGCGGGCGCGCGCTTCCAGCCGCTCTCGCACGTGGCGCCGGGCGAGTGTCTCGGACCTGCGCCGGCGTCTCGCCGACCGGCTCTGTGGAGCCGCCGCTGGCCGCCAGCCCAGAGTCCACCGTGTCGCCGCTGCTGCCGCACACACTCTGTCGCGTGTCCCGACTGCTAGCGGCGTCGGTCTCCGCATGCGCACCGTGCATGTTCCGCCGAGAGCGACCGCCGGCCTCCTGGGGCGGCAGCGACGGCTCGCCTTTGACGCGGCACGACCGGCCGCTGCGACGCGCGTGGACCGCCAGTGGCGGCGATGGTCTCTGCTGCTCGACGGCGGCGTCCGCCAGGAACTCGGTGAGCTTCGTGCGCCGCGGCAGTGTCGACGACCGTGGTGCCGCCCCGCGGTCGGCGGCTGTAGCTGAAGTGTCGGCGGTTTCCACCAGGCGATCCATACTGCCGTTGGCTGTTCGCCGGTGCTTGTGGCGTCGAGAGTGGAACATCTGTGAATGGTCGGAAACAGGATGATTGTTTATATACAGTACATGACACTGCAGTGCCTTCAGCGAGAGCTTCACATCCACCTGCACCATTTTTCATGTCGCAGCAATGATGATTTAGCAGTGCCTTCGCGGACAGCAAGTCTCATGCCCTGCTCTATGATCTCGAAATGGAGGGTTCCCGTCTTCAAAAAGACGACATGGCGAGAAGCGTAAAGAACGTGAATACTTCAGTTTGCTGAAGAGGAAAGCATGCCGTGTTTCATGTACCTGCCGTCAAACAATGCTGGAACAAGTTGCTTGATATCAAGAAACGTGCCTGCGTGTGAGGATAAGCTAGGGAAGTTTGTAAATTCCCCCATTATCGTTTTCGCAACCGGAGGCACCAAACGTTAGACAGGAACGAAAATTCCAAAACTCCTACGGACCATTTCTAACGATGGATTTAGCACAGCCGGACAGGGTGCAACTTTGCTCCATTGCATTGGTAACGAAGCACATTCTCAAAGCACATAAGAATAGAAGCACAAATGCCTGGGTGGCCGGTTCAGTACCCTTCGGTCGCCAATTTCACCCTCCTGAAATCTCAAAAATTAAGATAGTTAGGGCCACCACATTCACAGAGTGGGTTTACCTGTATGTGAACTCAATGGTGTGAGAATTTATGGAGCCTTGGTTGTGAGCTTGGCGACAAATAAAGCCAACAAGTTTAAGTCCAGATTTGTGTCCAAAGTGCCAACAGACCTCTTCGTGCAATTGCCATGAACCTATGCACCTGTTGTAAGCAAAAGATCGACGGTGTTTATTGTGTTGAGTGAGCTTGTTTAACCTTTTGGAGGTCAAGTTGACCAAAGCCTTACGAGATTACTCCTATTTTTCCATTAAAAAGTGTCAGGGATCACACTAGGTATAATGTTCCTAAAAATGCAATGTTAGCGCCGATCATTATACATTTAAGATACCTACTCTAACCTTTAAAACGGCCATGGAATATATCTGTTGCGATTGGAGTTATACATCAGGCTAATTTTGGCCTTGGTCTGGCCTTCATACCTGACCCTAGGTCAATGGAATTTGTTTCAGTTTTTTCGTTTTTGTTTATTTTATTTATGTTATGGCCACACATATACATCCTGATAAATATGACAGTGGCCATGTCGTCGCATCAAATAGAAAGGTTTCCTAGAAATGGCCTTCGCTGACAGCGACGGCCTGCCTTTCAGCTGTCATAGGTCAGCAACCCTGCAAGGTGCATCTATGGTTTTCGCAAAAGATCCGCTATTTTATTGCCTATAGTTATGCAAAGTTTAGCGCGGGTAAGCCGCGCCGTTCAAACATCATTCTGCAGAAATTCTCGGAGGGAGGTCAAGTTGACCCCTCCCCTACCTGAGCGCGCGGTAAAGCCTTGCCGACTGTACTGGGCTCACAACTCCGGGCTGACAATGACCCTTAGATCTGGAAGTCCGCCGACATAGTGCATTTTGCACGGCGAGAACCAGTATTTATTATTACATCATTTATTATTATATTTATTAGTAGGACGTTTCCACTCCTGTTAGCCCATTTCTCGTCAGCGCATTCATGTTGTTGGCGAGCGCATTTCCAACCGCGAACTTGCCCTGCCAGGGGGCAGGGCAAGTTATAGGTCAGCAACTGACCTCTGACGTCTGAACTTGCCCTGCCAGAGGGCAGGGCAAGTTCAGAGGTCAGGCCCTCGACCCCGCGTGCGACGACTGATCAACCATTCAAACTGATCCTCCTAGGAAGCTGTGAGCTCCGACCCAGTCGGCTGTGACCCAGGTGGCCGCATTCGCCACGCGCAGCATCGTAATTCAGTCAGTCACGCGCAGTCAGTCAGTCACACACAGTCAGTCAGTCACGTGCAGTCAGCCAGTCACGTGCAGTCAGCCAGTCACGTGCAGTCAGTCGCCCGCAGTAAACACTCAACCGGGGCTGCGACCAAGAAGTTTCTGCTGATCACTGGCTCGTACGGCCTCCCGCTCTTGACCTCGGTGCAAGGCGCCCCGAGCCCGTATCTCGTCTTGTGCAGCTGTTGCCCCGATATCGCCAGCTAACGCTGCGTTTGACCCATGGCTGCGTGAGCCGCGTACCTTGGGCGAGCCGTCGGCCAGCGGCGCGCGCCGGGCCACCGTCTGCGTGCCGACTGAGTGCAGATGAGTGACGTCACCGGCCGTCCAATCAGGTGGCGGAAACTGGGCGCTGAACGTGGCCAGCTGGCGGCGCGGCGCCGCCAGGCGCAGCAGCTTGGAGAACAGCGACGCGCGCTCCACTGTCCGACGGCAAGGCAGGTGACGTCAGCGGTGGCATTGCGAGGATGTGGGATCTGGTTGACTAAGAACAGCGGTGTGTCAAACTGGAAAAATAACGATATCCCAAATGCTTTTGATGGTGAAACTATGGAACCCGCCAAACAATGCTACGATGCATTTCAATCAACGAACCGGTTCTCGTCATCGGTGGAGAACAGCTGTCAAGACCCGTCTAGACTCCCTTCTTTCTGTCATCGCTGGACTCATTCATAGACTCAAGATGAGGGGCGCGTCGCGGCCAGGGCGGCAGCCGCTGCAGCCCCAGCCTTCTACCCCTATGAGAAATGGTATACAGATGTTTATCGAAATGAAAACATCGTGGAGACAGGTAGCTGGACGTTTGCCTCGACCTTCTCCACCAACAGCTGCTCACAAACGACAGTGCGATCTGGATGCCTGTCAGTCTCACGACAACAGGACTACAGCACAACATGGCCATTAATGGGCAGCCTGAGCATCTGGGAAACCAGAGGTACGGGGTTCGATTCCCCGCGGTGCCCGCCCTTCCTGCCAGGGTGAGAGGCAGGCGACGCCATATAGCCTCAGCAGCTGAGTGCGTCGTGAAGCCCCAATGACAGACACAATGGGCAGCCTGCGGCGCGCGCGCAGGTGTTGAGTGACGTCATCAAAGTGACTGTTCATACCCGGACGCACATCAGACGTTCCAAAAGACACCAACCGCTTGGCAATTCCAAAGATTTGGCTGCTTTGCGAGTAATGAAGGTGTTCAGAGGAATATTAGAGTTTCACACGAAGATAGGTTGTTCCCACAAACCCTTCAGGACGAAGGGTTTTATGCCAGGGTCGCTCGGGATTTCTGTCCGCTGGCGTCGACGCCATTATTCGAGAAAGTTCCGCGAAACAGCACAAAACCATTGGAGAAAGTACCGCGGAACAGCACAACAGCACTGGAGAAAGTACCGCGGAACAGCACAAACGCAGGCTAGAGTCCATTCTGGAACGATTCTGAAAGACGTGTTGCGGACATCCTACCGGTCGAATTTATTATGGGGTCTTAAAATTGCAAAGCTGGAGATCTGGGACCGTCGGGGGGGGGGGAGGGGTTGGACGGAGGGACATGAGGGCCGCCAGTGTCGGTCAGCTGCACTCACAGACGCTATACTCCTCGCTGGTGGGCGTTTCGTCAGGTGTACGTCTTGCGGCTGCTAACCGGCCGCAGCACACAGCTCGGGTACCTCATCGAGCTGGCCCGACGGAAGTGCTCCTGAAGCGAGGCACGTGTTGAATCAGCCGATCGGTAGTCACTATGACGCTTGGATGACGCTTGAAAAGGCTTGTCTATCATGGAAATGTGTAGCAACATCTAGGTGGTAGCGCAACAAAGGTACCAGGTCTTAAGCCCCACGTCACCTGACGTTCAACTTAAACAAATTGCCAAACTCGTCCTCCAGATGATCCCATCAGCCGACTTGCGCGCAGCTCGACCCGTTTGACAGACAGCATTGATACAACCATCCGGTGGCAGGTTAACTCTCTGCCTTATTCCGTACTGATCGGCAGAGGTGCAGGAACGTCGGAAGAAGGAGAAGCTAGGCAGTTTTGCTGAGTCCTTTCCAGGCATCTGGTGTGAAAAAACTCAACAAAGTCCTTTCCATGTCAGATGCATGAACAATTCCAACAAAGCCCAACACTTGATCCGAAGGGACCGGTTTAATATCCTGAAAACATGAGGAAAATTGCACTGTTATCTCCCCGTCCTTCCACCAATGCCGAAGGTTGTCACACTGTTATGACAAATCACACACCCTGCCTGGGCATCGGACCCCGTCTTGTTGGACACGGCTGCCCCAGCCCAGCCCTCCGTCACAGTGACAGCCGACTGGGGCGGCTACTGGCGGAGAGCAGGAGTGCCCTAAGACAAGGTGCACCGTCCCAGTCCGGATTGCTGCCGCCGTCTGCTCACCTCCCGCTGGCTGGCAGACAACTTGAGGGAATGGCGCCGAGCGAACACGCCCATGCCGAAAGACGGCGCTAGTGTCTCGCTCTGTAGAGGGCGTGCGTGTACCACCGGGTCAGAGTCCGAGCCTGAAACAGGCCGAGGCGAGTCACTGAACAATGCCTGACAATAACGAAACGAGCTTCAGACAGCCGTGTTCACGTACCTGTCGTGGTCATGCAACCAAAAAAACCTACACAGGTATGAAAATGCAGAGGGGCTCATACACATAGCACACATAGTGTATGCAATAGATAACCTGAAAATGTCACACGAAAATGTCCAAATGTGGTAACATTTTTAAAAACAGAGGACGACAAAGAGCAGGAAACGAACTTACAAGCGTCGACAAAACGGGGGCATTGACGCTTTCCAACAACAAAAGTGAGACAAAAACGACGCAGGTAGAGATGCGCCTACCACCCGGGCGCCTACCACGTGCCTACCACCAATGACCGAGCTCAGCCCGCACCTCCGAGTATGATGTCGGCCAGGTCTGTCTGCACCAGCCGGCTGACGCTGCGGCCACAGCGGATGGCATCGCGCTCCAGCTCGGCCGCTAGCTGGCGCTGGTACGTGCCGGGCGTCACGATCCGGTAGCCGTGCTCGGTGTGGTACACCTGGCGGCCGGCGGCGGCGGCGTCACGCGGGAGCGAGGGCAGGCGCGCAGTTCGCTACGACCGGCTCGGTTATCAGATCCTGGTGCGGTCAAGACGGGAGTGTCCACACCGGAGTGTCAAGGCCGGGGTGTCAACACCGGAGTGTCAAGGCCGGAGTGTCAAGACCGGGGACGTGTCATAGCTAGGGAAAAGACCGAGAAAAGAGTCTCATCTATATTTGTGTATGGAAGCGTAGTGCCAGTGATACCCCAGACCCTCTGGACTGGTCAGATAAATCTTCTGAAGGGAGATCTACTGTTCATCGCTGCAATTGCCAGCTTCACTTTATATCGTAAACGCATGAGAAGTCGTGAAATATCATTAACATTAACATAGGCATTAACAACATGAGCGTTACCAAAAATAGCATAGCATTGACGTTATTATTATAGCATTATTAACCATGCAAATGCCAGACAAAATTGGCATTTTCTTTGTCTGGCATAGGCATGCTTTCTCTCATACGAAATGTAGCCAGATGTCAACTAAGGGCACCAAATTGCGCAGCGTGTCAGAGCGAGTTTCATTCGTGCAATAATTTCAGCGCTGCTGTCGGTTTCGAGGCCAAAACCCAGAGCTCCGTGACGCTGCGCATCCAACGGATTTAAGATGTGGAAACCGCCATGGATGACAACGTTGGTATCGTATCAAAGAGCCCTCCGTGAAGATAAGCCGTTAACATGGACGCAACAGGCGGCGATGATGTTGTACACGGTCAACCAAAATTACCGTAAGGTTCGCTTGCATCGGGTCATTTGTCATTTCAAGGCAAATGTGGCACAGGAAGCGTTGACCTGCCACGGAGCTATACAGCTGAAGGGGCAAGAAAGACACCGGCATCACGAAAACAAGCATGTGCGGTCCTCAAAAGCAGAACACGGCGGTCTTCGAGGCATGGCGCATGCCGGCGTCCCACGCGCTAGCACCCGCACGGGCCGCTCGTGGCTGGAGCTCGCTCAGTCGGCGTGCCGGGCCGCAGGGCGAGCACCGCCCCTCTCTC